CCCCCCCCCCCCCCCCCCGAAACCCCCACACAAGACCGTCGAAGAGCTTGGGAGGGTCGAAATGAACGAAGAGCTCCGACGGGTCGTCGAGCTGAGAGAGATCTGCTCTTGGCTCAAGCATGCACTCCTTGCATGCGATCCTTGGGCTCTTCTTTATAAGGAACTTCGGGTTTGGGGTTTAGGCTTTTAGGGTTTTAGGATCTTAGGGTTTCTGGTTTTGGGGTTTTAGGAAACCCTATGGTTTAGGATCTAGGAAGGAACTTATTAGAGTGTTGGGATAAGGAACTTCCGGCTTATTTTAGGGATTAGGGCTGTAAACTAGCTACAAAACTAGCATGCTGAAGCCCTACTATTTATGTTGCATTCCGATTCTGGCAACTCGAAATCGGCTCCAAACACAAAGCCGGAATCTTGAGGCCCGGGGACGTGCTTGGCCTGTCTAGCGCGGAGGCCAGCTCTGCCACGGTCATACCTTTGTGCACCTTTGCTGGGCCCCACAGCACTGCACCTGCCATTGAATACGCAGTCAGGGTCGGCCCGTCTGCTCCCACGCGTGCGGCCTTGGCTACGGGCTCCATCTGTGCGAGGGAACGTCGCCCCAACCCGGCAGCAAAGGATGTGACCGCCAGGTAATGTCTGCGCAATGCCATGCATTCACTACCATGCTGAGAGCCATCCATGCAACCAGTGCTCGCAGGGTGCTCACTTTTTCCAAGGTGCGCGATGCTTTAAACAGGAAGCACCACAAGGGCAGTGGCACTTGCTGTAAGTCCCATTCAGCTCCCATGCAGTCGAGCTGCGATTTGCCATTCCGAAGCTTTTTGGCAAGCCTGAGAGAGGCGGCGATTTCAGAATTCCCGGAACTTCCTCTCCATCGGACAGACAACCGGTACCAGGGGTCGGCAAGTCGAGACATAGAACGTACAACACTTCGTGATAATATACAACATAGCCTCCGAGCTGGAAAAGCCCGGCCGGACTAACAGAGAAGAGATGAGAAGAGAAGACGGCATCCTACCCCTGAGCGACGATCCCCCTGCACCTGACTGAGAGTCCTAAACGCTCGAGCATGCCAGAAATATGAGGAACTACAGAACTCCAAAGGATAACCCTGAGCGCAAACGCAAAACCCAAGCTAAGGCTGCAGACCTTCAATCCCCTTAGCTATAGACCTTGTAGCCCTAAATATCATGAACTTTGCACCCAAACCCGACGTCAATCTTAGAAGTCGAACCCGAGGCTTTAGGGCTTGCGTTTAGGTTTAGGGCCTTGTCAGTGAAAACCGGCACTGGAACCCGATCGCGCATGTTTGTTCCGTGCAGCCTCCGCTCACTGCGTGACAACACAGTGGGTACTCCATTCTGGCAAGTTGGAGGGCCTCTGACTGTTGAGGTTAGGCTTTAGGGTCAGTTCCTCGCTCAACTTAGATCGAATGCCGCAAATGTGAGTCTGACCTCTGCGCACGAGGATTTCTTTCAAGCTTTTGGAGCACAGGACGAATTGTAGCAGGCACCATCCTCCAATTGACCAGATGCTCCTATCCCACTGCTGGTAGTCTTCGCCGGGTTCAGCCTCTCTGCTCGTCAGAGCTGTGGATCTGATTTTCGGAAGTTGCTTTCGTGCTGGGCTCTTGCTGTCACATACAATCCCATATCCAAAAGCTTGAGTAGGACGACCACCGGGCAGGGCAAATGTGGAAGGACCCAAAATCCTAATCAGTGCAATACGGCTATGGGGTAAAGTTTACTTTTTTGTACTGCAATACAAAAGGAATTCTAGGGAAAGGTATTCCGAATTCTATAGGCTTCTATGCAACACAGTCGTCGCCGAGAATCTGAACCTCTGAACGCGGTGGTAGCATACGCAGAGAGCAGATCGGGAAAGGAACCAGCTAATTAGTAGGGGTCCTAAGGAGTCATGGTACTGACTGCTCCGGCCGTATAGTTTCGTAGGCCCACTTTCCTTGCTCTAGATTCCCCTAATCCTGCAAGCCTACCGCAAGCCTCTAAACCCTGAGCCGCACTGTAAACCCCAAACCCCTACACCCCATACAACCTAAACCTAGAATCCTGTGAACCCTGAGCTGGCATTGCTGTTCTTAGGGCGCGAGTGCCCTAGCCCAAAAACGGTTTACGCTTGAATGATGGTAAGCCGGTAAGCTCATATACCATATACCCCAAAGTGAGTAAAGGTTACCTACCCAGCCCCCAGGTGGTTGGTGCAACACTCTCACTGTCAAAGAACCGCTTGTAAGCTTCTAAGCATACTTGTAGTTTGACGAACCAAAACTGGGTACTAATACTAAACCCAACCACGCCGGATCTGCGTTAAGCTAAAACTCACGACGTGGACAGGAGTTGCAGGAATACAATTCACAGAAGGGTCAGGGCAGTGTAGCTGCATGGCGGTATAAATGCAGTATATATAATCTACGTGCCACATAACTACTTGGCATAGTGAGGTGGTTCCAGGCAAAGGTGCATACGCAGGTACCGAGGAACCTATATAGAATGCTAAACCTGACATGCAATGGTCTAAAGTCAAGAGTCAAGAATGCATGGCCGCTCCTAAACCCTACACATCTCGTGCCCTGCTCTCCATTGATCGGCAAAGGTTGCAATACAAGCTTGCTGTCTGCCCCTTCGCACTTTGGGCGATCATACAGACTGCAGGCGGTCACATAAATTGCTAAGAGATACCATGTCCTTGGCGAGAAGACATTGGGAAGTCTTCGTGCCCTTAGACGGAACCCATCCCGAAAGCCGCATGGACTGATCTCAGCAACCTTGGTCACCTCTTCCGAGTGTAGCTGTACTATTTCCAACCCAGGCTCCCGAGGTCGCGAGAACGCCATCCACAGAGCACTACTACCACCGTTTCTTCTTCGTGCGTTTTCAGCCTGGTTCTTACCACTATGTTGGCATGAAAATGAAAAACAAAACATGCAAAAGCTGTCGTTGCTCTCACTCACGTTGCTGATAGCAACAAGTACTGCTGTTAGGATCAAACTGCAGTTGCTACCAGTTATTGTTATTTTGTCTTATTGCAGCCATGAGTCCCCAGCAGCATTGACCCTGAGAAGCTCCATCAACTTAGCACCTGACACTGGGGTTTGGAATGCTTCAGAAGCTACGCTGCTACAGATTTGCACGAAGACCCTGAACATCTACGCTTTCTAATAAAACATGAAGGCCTGCGCCAGCTGATATCATGGGATACGCACTAAGGGGACATACATGAAGAATAAAGTTGTTGAGCCATTTCCTTTGGTAGGTTTCCCTCTCGCTTCTTCCACGCAGCCAAGAAGGGGCAGTAGCCCACCCTCCCCCCCCAAGGCCCGGCGCGCGCAGTGGCCTTCGAAGTCTCCCTCATTCTCCCTCTCTCTATCGGTTGGGCTCCCTCTCCCTCCCTCTTCCTTTCGCCAGGGTTAGGGGTAGCACTCTCTCACCCTCTCCCTCCCTCTCTCCCTCTCTCCCTCTCTTTTCTTTCCTTCCTCAGGGCTGTGGTGGGGAGTTGCCTCCCCACCGCGCGCATCATGCGCCCCCACCTGTTGCGGGCGCCGATGGTGAATTGCCTCTCCCTCTCTCTCTCTCTCTCTCTCTCTGTCTCTCGCTCTCTCTCTTTCTCCCTGTCTCTCTCGATAGGAGATGGCCTGGTACGGAGGCTGGTAGCTGGGTGTCGCCAGCCTCGCACCGTAAGCACCTGCCAGTGGAGAAAGTTTACTAGGCCTAGGCCCTTCAGGTCGCAGCACAGGGTCTGAAGAGCAAGGTGCTGAATGGCAGCTTCTCATATTTACATGTTTCGAAAGCAGTGCAAACAGTCTCTTTAGGGTCACGCAGACTTAGAGTGGCTCCTCCGCCTCCGCCGACTAATTACAACAACAACACAAACAACAGCAACTACTGCAACTAATTACTACCCCTACTTCTACCACGAGTCAACAACAACTGCTGCTACTCCTCGACTGCTACTACTACTACTACTACTACTACCACTATTACTACTACTACTACTACTACTACTACTACTACTGACTACTACTACTACTACTACTACTACTACTACTACAACTACGACGGCGACGACAATAACAACAACAACATCAACAACAGCAACATCAACAACAGCAACATCAACAACAACAACAACAACAACAGCAATGCAACAGCAACAGCAACAGCAACAACAACAACAACAGCAACAGCAACAACAACAGCAGCGGCAGCAACAACAGCA